GAAGTGTTTGGTATTTAAAAAAAAAAAAATTAAACTCAATCTTGTGTAATAGCTGGATAATTATATTAGAAGTGTTTGGTTTATTACAATTTAATTTCTTCTTTTTTCTTTTTGTCTCTTTTAGATGACAAAAAATGTAATAGCTTATAGTCCTTAATAAAGGTAAATTACATTAAGTAGATCATATGCGACGAATTTAGCTGAGAGAACGTTGACAAGAATCAAACTCGTGACTTTCTGATACGAAAATCATACTCTATTCACTTGATCACTCTTTTCGAGACTTCTATCTTCTATTGATGATAAGGATGAGAGTTATGGTATTTAAAACAGCTTATAAAAACTACTGTCTAAGCTATCAATTTGAAAAGGTTAGTTAAACATGTCGTAATTAAGACATAACGTTTGATGAGTGGGGCAAAGTTTTCGTAGGATAACATTGGTTAAAACATCGGATTAAGTTTAATTAACAGAAGATTATAGTTAATTACTGTCAACTGTCAAGGCTGAGGTGTTTTTGTATCAAATCGGATTGGATTTAGATCATTGCTTCTGTCATCAACATATTATAATCCGAAAATGCAAATAGCTTAGTATAGCATTTGATGTCAGCTTCCACTTACATCTTTATGAAGAAAATGGTCTGACTAATTACCTAATCTTTATTTCTTTAACCTTTTAATATCTTATCTTATTATATATACCTTCATTTTATAAATATTTAGTTTCTTATTTAACTCGAGCATGACTTATACCGTGGTCCTTACAGGTTCCAACGGTGGGGTGTGAAGCAAGTGGAGGTACAATCAAACCCTCACTTTATAGTGTTTTTCTAGGCATGTTTGATCTCATCATGTATTGAAATTTTTTACAAGATAACTAATTATCTCTAGAACGACGAGAAATCTATAAAAGGCGACAAGAACCAGTTCACGTGTCTCCAATTCAATTCTGAATCATAGTACAAGAATTCATTTGTAATTTTAACATCTCATTATTTGAATTATATGTTCCTACCACCCCTATACGGCTATACACTCTATTTATCCAATTTTGTGATAGGTTTGTGTCAAAAAATTGTCCCTTACAATCAGTAATACAATTAACTAACCGTGAAAATTTTAAAATAAACATATATCTATGTCATTAGATAACGAGGTGGTTAACATATATTTGTCACTTTTTAACAATTAAGGATACTTAGTTACTTTCAATAAAAAAAAAAGGATACTTAGTTACTTACATACAAACTTTCATATGTCAGTTTACACACATCCTTTTGTTTAAGATAATAATTGATCATAAATATCCCAGGCTGATGTCTCTATACAACCTTATCTCAACTTTTGATGTCGTGTCCGGATTTGATTATGACGTAATACGACATTTTTTTTTGTCAACTTTTTAAGTAAAAAAAATGAGGATTTCTGGATGACAAGAAAAATTTGAAAGTGTGTATAAAGTAAAATTTTATTATTATGTAATAGCATGTAAATCACTTTAAAAAAAAAACATATGCAATACGTTCAATTGAAAGACTTTGAAGTATGAGAGTCATATTTTATTACTCAGATAATCATTTTTGAGATAAAAGAAACTAAAATATAATGTTATATCCAATTTAAAATTTAAAATTTAAAATAATAATAATAATAATATCCCCTATTTTGGTGATATATGATTATGATCCTTTTCTTGGTAGTAAAGGGATTGGTGATGAACCCGCGGAATACACACGGAGAAGTTTCGGACGCCTGGGCCCCACAGTTCGTTGTCTTTCGGTAACTTCGTTGCTTCTAGAATTTTGGAAGATAGATAATTGTGGTGCCGTGTTGGGCGCTGGCCACTGTGCCTCCGCCACGCACGGCGGGGAGTTTTCGCGCGTTGAGTTGCCGGCCGTCCACTTGGCGGGTTTGTCAACTGTCAAATTCTAAGGGGAAAGAGATTTTAATTTAATTGATAGTCGGTCGTTTAAAATTCTTCCATTTGGGCTTTCCAACGTAGAAGAAAATGAAACGAGGTGCCGCATGATTGCATGTGTCGTGGTCCGGCATAATATCTGTCCCAAATATGTAGAATGTTCGAGTCTTAATTGTAGAAGAATCATGGACTTATCTTTCTTGTTCAATTTTATTCTCTAATGTGACGGATTCTGATAAGTTACTTTTTTTTTTTTTATCTGTCTCGATATAAGTGTTTAAATCAAGATTTTGTGTGTGAGTAAAACATAATTAGCATACCAGAATCTTCTGGGGTAGTATTTTTCGGGGATCAAGACAACTAAACAAGCGACCAACTTCTATTTGATATGATTTGCCAGTAATCCAAAGGAGATTAATTTCTTAGAGGAAGCAACTGACTGGCACTCTGGCAGTACTAATGACAAATTAAAGCTGTGTTAGATATTGGGCTAATAATGTTGTGAAGTGAAAACGAACATAATATTGGGCTCAATATCTGTGCTTCTGTCGGACCAACATCTTACTATGCTTCACTGAGGACTGACCATAAATAAATTTACAATCGTTATGCTGTGCATCCGTATGCACCATCACCTTGTATGGTGCATACGGATGTCAAAACGACGTCGTTTTATTAAAAAACGCGTGTCTCCCATTTAAAAAAAATTCAGGTTCGATTCTCAGCAACAATATTATATTGTTCATTCATTCTGGAAATTTAGTTCATAGATTATGGAATTATAGTTCATTGATTATGGAATTATAGTTCATTGATTATGGAATTATAGTTCATCGATTATGGAATTGTAGTTCATCGATTCTGAAATTTTAGTTTATAGATTATGGAATTTTAGTTCATTCATTCTGGAATTTTTGGTTCATAGATTAGATTATGGAATTATAGTTCATCGATTATGAAATTATAGTTCATCGATTATGGAATTATAGTTCATCAATTATGGAATTTTAGTTCATATGTTGTTGCTGGGAATCGAACCTGATTTTTTTTTTTTTAAGGGGAGACACGCGTTTTATTAAAACGACGTCATTTTTGCATCCGTATGCACCATGCACTATAATCTATATTACATGGTGCATACGGATGCACAGCATAATTTGCCATAAATTTATACCAAGGAGGCAAATGGATCCTAGTGCCTATAATCTATATTACAATTGGATCGCCCAATCCGTATTTACTAAATCAGATATCTATCAAAACTAAAGTTTCTTCCTATATTTTCATTTAGTTAATTTCGAACCAAATTAACTGAAAATAAATAATATATAATATATATTTATATAAAGCATAAACATTTTGGTAAATCTTCTTATCAAAATTGATTTTTGAACCGAATTAATCATTACCTTAAATTTTTAAGTTATTAAAATCGATCATAAAACTGAAATAATTTTTTATCAAATCGATTTAAAATTCAATTTAATCAATTAACTAAATTTTCAGCTTCAAAAAAAAAAAAAAATTAACTAAATTTTCATCGAATCACAAATATTAGTAACCATACACCGAGACTAATAATTTTCGTGCCGAGTAAGACCTGAAATAGGTCCGTGTAAGCCCACAATTGTTACCCAAAAATACGCTCGGCGTTAAACTCGTATTGTGATCATACCATAAGAATATAAACTAATTTAGGCTATCCATATAATAATCACCTCCCACCGGAAAAAAAAAAGTCAAAATTAGAACCTTGTAATTAAGCCAACAATCAAACTAACTTAATTGTTATAGCATAGACCAGAGCAATGTTGCAAAAAACGCTAGGCGCCCCCTAGGCGCCGATTTTTTTTTTTTTTTAATTAAAAAAAAATTTTAAAATTAAAAATTTTCAAAATTTAGTACTAAAATATAAGGTTTTCATAGTTATTTCTTAGAAACTATTTACAAAAGTGGTTGTAAAATTGTTCAAAAGATTGTTGAAACCATCTAAATACATAAAAAAACTAAAATTAAGAGCTAAAGAAGCATTTTTTTGAGAAATTAGTGGACCAAACCGCCTTCGGCTGTTTGCGGTGTATAGATCTCGAAAAAATACGCAATTTGAAAAAAAATTGTCCAAATCAAACAACCGAGTCAAAAGTTATGCCTTCCGAAAGTTTTTCGACATTTCAAAAAAAAAAAAAAAAAAACGCCAAACCGCCGAACCGGCCGGTTAGGCGGTCTAGGCGGCCGGCCTCGGAGGAGGCCGCCGAGGCCATTCCTCGCGGCGGCCTCCTACCGCCTAGCGCCTAGGCGCGATTTTTGCAACCTTAGGCCAGAGTTCATATTGCATTGTGAATCCTGGTCCAAAAATTATGTATCTGCAATTAACTCATTTTGTACCTATTGTTAACAATTTATATACTTGTAAGCAAACTGAAAACAAATAACATGGTAATTACAAAATAACATAACTACACATACACATAAATTATTAACTGCAAACATATGTTGGTCATGTTATGTGTTTGTAATTAACATATTTTATACCCGCATTTAATAGTTTATGTTTCTATAGTTATCATGTTATGTGTCTTTAATTTGTTTACAAGTAAAAGAAACAATTAATTGCAAGTACAAAATTTAAAAGTTATTTTTAGACTAAAATCTAAATGCAAGGTAGATCCCGGATCATGATATAATTTGACAAACTAGTTCAGTTAGATTGCCCTAGCTCATGGGTAAATCTTGTTCAATATTGAACATGATTTCTTATTTCTTTGGGTACAAAACTACAAATATTGAACTTGATGATAATGGTGGACAAGATTAGATATTTTACTGCCGAGTACACTTATACCAAACATTAGTTGCCTCGGGAGTTGTGAACTTTGCACTTTTTCCCGTTTTAAAATGCCGTCCAATAGCGTTCCACCATAAGATATTTTTGACTTTAGAGTTTAGATCATCCCACACTCTACTTTTCAGGTGCGTGTTAACCTCCTTTTCATTATTTTTTATTCTTTCGTTCCTTTTTACTATTTTTAGACACAATTGTGGACCTACGGTGTTAGAACATAGAAAGCACGCTCCAGTGAGTCGCGTAGCGGGGCTATCACCCTCCACAATCTGTCATCTCTTCTGAGCTGCACACAAATAATATCTGTCTGCCTCCATAGTCCATATATTTCAATCTCTGAATTAGAGAGAGCACACTCGCGACGATTGCTGTGCAGATGGTGGAGGGTTCGTTGATGGCGCACTGTTGATCGAGTTCTTTTTGAACGGCAACCACCGGACCGCTCTTCCGCCGCCGCCGCTGCAGCAGCCGGAGGAGGAGCAGAATCTAAAGGACTGACATGGAGGACAACGTTTCCACCGTCAACAACCGTTCCCCGCGTCAGGCCTTGACCACAACTGACTCCGTTACCACTACAAACACCGCCAACAAGCGCCGCCACCGCGGAGCATTCTCGGTTGCGGCGAGGGAGGAGGCGTTCGCTGGAGGAGAAACAAACGGCGGCGGAGAGGATCAGAGCGAAGATTGCTTCGAAGGAGGCGACTCGGAAGTCTGGAACGCGTTCACGAGCAACTTCCAGTCGGTGCAGTCGGTGCTGGATCGGAACAGAGTGCTGATTCGGCAGGTTAACTCCAACCATCAATCTAGAGTCCACGAGAATCTGGTCGAAAACGTGAACCTAATTCAGGAGATCAACGGCAACATCTCCAAAGTCGTTGCACTCTACTCTGATCTCTCCACCAATTTTTCCAGCGCGTTTAATCAGCGCAAAGCCACCACTCAAGACCAGAGCAACGCCGAGAAAGCCGACAGCTAAATCATAGTAAATCTTTCTCGGCCCCCTTCTTCTTCCTTTATCAGTATTCAGTAATGTTTCTTTCATTAGTGTGTGGCTTAGAGGTATTGAAATCAGGATCTTTGGCCAACCTTTCTACTTACTGTTATAGTGTTATGGATCTTTTTCCTTTAGTAGCTAAAAGTAAAACTATGTCATGCGTTCAGTAAAAGTTTCTTTCTAATGTATTACTAAAAATAAAATAAAAATGTGCACAACATAGTTTAGCTCATTTCAGGCTTTCTGCCAAACATCTACAGTTAAAGTTGTATACAAACTATTCATAAATCATAATCCATAAACCACAATCATACTAATAAATAAGAAAGCTTCTGCAGTTCTCATTTGCTCCAATGAGAATGGCAAGTGCGAATAACTCTCATTTAATGTGCATATGAATGTGGATTAAAGAAAAGAGTAGATGTGTATATAATTTGGTATAAGGGCTTTGAACTGTACCTGATCAAAAGTAGAGTGACATAAATGAGAAGTCAGGCCACAAACTCACAATGGTAGTTCACCACTATTGGCAATAATAACTTTGCCTTTGGGTGTTCCGCTTGGCCTCCCTTCTCCCTCAATCTTGTAGACGACGTCCATCCCTGAGAGGACTTTGCCAAACACGACATGACGCCCATCCAACCTATGGTTTAGCAACAATGGCTTTAGACTATGGTTGCAGTATCATTTCATAAACTGTTTCACCATTAAGGCCATCTGATTAACGTTGTTTATCAACAATTCCATTAGAGTAGACTACAAGCAATAAAAGTTATACTGCTAGTTGCCTAGTTTCGTGGTAATATGCATGGAATTATTTGTTAGGAAAGCTCAACTATTTTACCAGCTAGTTATCACTGTAGTGATAAAGAACTGTGATCCATTGGTATCTGGCCCAGCATTCGCCATTGATAGAAATCCTAGTACAAAAAGAAGAGATTAAACATTAAGTACTATGTCTACAAGGTAGTCTTTTGTTTCCAACATTGTCTTTATTATGTATTGAGCAAGTTAAACATTTCATGCACTAAGGCAGATCAAACATTACCAGGAGCAGTGTGCTTTAGTTTGAAGTTCTCATCTGCAAACTTGGTACCATATATTGATTCTCCACCTCGCCCATCACCAAGAGTGAAGTCACCTCCCTGGATCATGAAGCTAGGGATGATCCTATGAAAAGCACTCCCCTTGTAGTGGAGAAGTTTCCCACTCTTTCCCGTTCCTTTTTCTCCTGCAAGAACAGAGAATTTTATTTGTAAGATCATGAATCTGGAAAGTCCACCCACTACAGATGGTTAGTTGGGATCTTGGGCAGTATAAAAGAATGTAACAATTAGTTAGACACAGTACTAGACGAAGTAGGAAAGATACAGCAATTGGTACAGCTTTTGTTTCATAAAATGTAATGGTAAAATACATATAGGATTGGCTCTGACTATATGGATAATTCCACATACAAATTTATTCCTAGATATGCCTGAAACCCATATCTGCCATAAATACAGATTTTTTATTTTCATTTATGAATAAACCACTGTATATTAAAAGAACATCTGGCCCTGTGACTACAGCACAATTTTGTGGTGATATGGAAAAGCAAGAAAAAGTTACTTGGTTGCCACTTACCTGTGCAAAGAGCTCGAAAGTTTTCTGCAAAATGAACACATAAACGTCAATTCAGTCCCAACCATTAGTTACATTATATGTAAGAGTTTTGAAGTCGAAGAAGATAGAATATATGTCTTAAAAGAGCATGCTACAATACCTGCTGTTTTTGGAACAATTTTCCCAAAGAGACCCATGACAATACGACCTGAAATGGGCTTGCCATTAGTATATGACATATTTCTACTCATGCAGCAATAAAAATTACAGGTTTAAACAAATTCACACCTGCATGCCTTGTCATCATAAGTAGTAATTCATGTAAATTATACACAAAAATTATGCAAGCAATTCTTTCATTGCCTATATAAACTGGATTGCCTCACAGAGATTTGTGTTGAATTATATTATAATGTCAAACCATATCTGATGATTATCCAACTTTAGAATAGTACATGATACTTTATAACAGGAGTTGAAATTAATTGGAAATATTTGCTGTGAGCCTGTGACCATTCTCACAGCCTCACAGGAGCCACCACTGTGGATTTCTCAGTTCTCACTCTACCATATTCTTTTTTCCTTTCACTTATACAATATTCCCAAAGAAGATTAGGCTAAGAAAGCAAGATTTTACTGGAGCAGAATGTACTAAGATGTGATAAAATTCCAAACAAGCTATACACACAAATGCTTAACAAGATTTCATTAGAAACCAGTACTGCTTAATAATCCAACAGAAACACACTAACAATATCTTATTTGAAGCAGATGGCAGAAAAATGAAATGCAAAAGAAAGAACAAAAAGAAAACCTCATACCAGCAGGTTTTCCATTAATTTCAATGTCGAAATACACTTTGTGCGTAACACCCTCTAGATCTTCAGTAGTTATCGCCTATACCAGTTCACAGATCAAAATTCGCAAAAACGAGGCAGCATAACACAGTTACCTAACTCTGACATACACAAAATTCAAGTTTAATTTTAATTTTTTTTTTCATAATTTGAAAATATCAACCTCATTATTAATTTTTTTCTCGCCAGATGAAACTGCAGCATCATTCAATCGGTTCTGCAACGAAAATGTATCAATCAAGCAATCGCCATAAAATTGAGATCTTCAGACTAAGAGCTGTGGAACATATATATTGTAATGAATTAATGCAAGCGAGAACGGGAAATTGAAGATGAAGTGTTACCAGAATGAGAGCTAGGGTTACGAACATGATCAGAACCCAGAGGAGTACGACTGGAAGCAGATTTTTCCGATTGTTGGCCATTTCGCTATCTCCCTCCCGCGCGCGCGCGTGGTCTCGTTCTATATATATCTCTCCTGTTAGTCCTGTATGAGTTGAGATCTGTATATATATGGTGTTGCCAGGCCTGCCAGAGTGCCAGCTTCGGAGATCTAGCTTAGCCTATTTCTTTGTAGCTTTTTTTTTTTTTTTTTTTTTTTTTCATAATATTAAAAAGCATATGATAATTTCTATTGAATACGTTTTTTTTTTTTCTTAGTAATGGAAAAGTATAAAGCATAAATCAAATGCCCCGTATTCCTTATGTACTTTGTTTGGCACTTGGCAGACTCATAATCTTCTAGTATGGGAAGACAAAGAAACAATAGCTTCAAATATGTGGCGCTTAGCAGACATAAATATAAAAGATTGGGGTAAACCCCTATTGGATTCAATAGTAAGACCACCACAAACATCACTCCAACTGCTATTCAAGAAGGCTTCGTAGGTAGACGCTGCCTTCCTCTACGCTACAAAGACAACAAGCTTCAGGGTGATTCTCCTTGATGAGGATGAGTATTTCAACTTTTAAGGCAGCCACCAACGACCCTATTACATATGTTCATGACCCGGGATCGAGTCTCACCAGCGGCAGTACGTGTGGGAGCAACCTCTCAAAGTGAGGGGGGTTTCTTGTGCGCAGTGAGCACCGGTCTAACCTCTGTGATTAATGTTCAGTTGAGTCACCATGATTTACAACCTCCCACCGCTCTGTCGGGCCGGGGTGTGGGGGCCCTTAGGGTTGGGGTTCAGCCTTTTGGAATAATGACTCTCATTAAGCGGAGGCTATCACGTGTAGAGAGGCACTATCCTGACTCAAAAACCTCAATCTCGATAGATGTTGTTTGGAATCTGATTGTCACAATGTCATAATAGTCATAACTAAACCAAAAAAGGATCTCTACTTTGATCATATTTTGATCAATGTCATCCTTTACTTAGCTTTTTTCAAAAAAGATTATGTCGTATTTTTTCTCGTCCAACGAACTAATTAGCTCATACTTTAGTTAGGGACTCTAACTCAGTCTGTATGTATTATTGGTGTGACTAGTCTCCCGATAATTTTTGAATTAATTTGATAAGCTTTCCTTTCTTCATTTAAAAAAAACAAAAAGTAAAATTGCGCTTATAACATTGATAACAAGTATGAAGCTTATACCTTTAGAAACTCTAAAATAACATAAAAGTAAGATAAAATGAGGGCAATCAATTAGATTATGTACGGGTATGCCTCAATTTTGAAAAAAACTATATGATGTACTATTATAGATAGAACCCAAGTCCATCGCATAGAAAAAGATAATTTTAGAAATGACAATGCAAAGATAACTTTATTAATGACTCAAATAATTAAATTATTATTTTATTGACATAGAAATATCAATCTATATAGAGGCAAATCACCTCTCGATCACGTTTAGCTATACTTTTTTTAAAGTAAGGATCAAATTCTGTTAACGCGATTTATGTCAAAACTGAATTAGTTTATAGTAGTAAAATATTGAATGTCGTATGAAAAAAAAAGGGTTAAAAAACTCATGGTTAAACTACTATATATAACAAGTTAATTATATGATATTATAAAAACATAAATCAAATGTCAAGTACTTTGTAGTTTGATGACATCATTGTTACCATTTAAATTGATATATGTTCGAATCTCATCGCAACATCAAGGATGTAGATTTTGTAGTTACCACAAAAAAAAAAAAAACATAAATCAAATTTGACCAAAAAGCCAAATAATAAAGATGAAATCAGCAGCTTTCGGATAACATAACACATGGCTTAAATTGGCATTATAGTCAATAAAATTGGGGAGGTAGATGACGATTTGGATGAATCAATTGATTTTTAACTCTTAAGATAATTTAGATTTAAAAAGTCAAAGAACTCTTTCAAAAAAAAAAAAAGAAGAGTCAAAGAACTCTTTTTCTATCCTAACAACTTTTTAAAATACCATAATAAACTTTTTTAATACAAAAAAAAAAAAAAAAAAAAAAAAAAAAAAAAACACGAAATAAAACTATGCCAAATCATGGAGGACAAACTTGGGGTCATAACGTCCGGATGTGATTAAAACTCATTATTTTTTAACTATTATGAAAAAATAAAATTACAACCATACAATTAATACAAATATTGAGTGACTCACTCTAATAGTCTAACCATACCTGCAACGAGCAACAACTGAATATCCTCTTATCGGATATCAAAAATTGAGTAGCACTCAGTAAAAACGACATCAAATATGCACATATATTAATTTCTATGTGAATATACTCAATAGTACATA